ACTATCTATCTTGAGGACGAAATCGTACCGTATTTCGCAGGCTCGAGGAAGAGCGAGTACTTCGCGAAGTAAATATCCACGTAAGTGATAACGGCAAGAGGCAGCTCCTTCCTCATCTCCACTAAAGTCTCGTTGAGCTTTTTGTTGAACTGCTGTGCCGCCTTGTTGTAGAAGACAGCACAGCCGGCTGAATCAAGCTCGCCGGCAGCTATGATGTTTCGTCGGAGGAGGACGTACGCGAGGCAACCGAGTGGGCCGGTGTTGTGAATCCAGAAATACCTCACCCCCAGGGCATACATGCTCTTAACATCGCCGGAGAAGGTGGATAACGTCTGTGGAATGAGTTCGTCATACGTTTTTCCGGCGTCCAAGCCGGCGGTGATGTCATTCTGCCTGATGTCGATGGTATAAAGAGATTGGTTGAAGTATTCCTTCTTTGGCATCAAGGATTCATAATGAAAACTGATGGGAATGCCAGAATTGAAACGAATCTCGATTGTGATTTGGGCGAGTTTTCCATTTCGCCTTCCACCAATTGCTGTTAGTGTGAGTAGACGAAGGTCGATGGATGAGGAACAGGAATACGAAAGGTTATTAAAGATTTCTATAAATAAATAGATGCAGGAAAGACAAACCGTTTTAGTAGAAGTTCAAGAGGAACCTACCGGATAAAACGGTAGAGACCAGGAAGTTTTAATAGAGTATGTTTAAAATTAATAAAATAATTATAATAATTGAAATGGAAAGTTAGAATTTAATTTAAATAATTAAAATAGAAAGTTAGGATTTGCTATGGGTGGAATCTCAAGCCACTTTTATATAGTAGTATAAATATTAAGAGTGGGGTGTCAATATTTGACACGGCCCGATAACTCAACTCGAACTTGACACAGAAATTTTTGTTTGGGTTAAAGTTTTCCGTTTCAAAAATCGGGTCAGGTTCGGGTTGACCCAGAAACCCAAAAATGACTGACTGAGCTGCCCTGCCCCCCGCTGCACTGCTCGGCTGACCCACTGCCCGCTCGCATGACTACGTCGCATCCTGTGTCGCTTCGCCCGCCGCCTTTGCGTCGCATCTGCTGCCCCGCTATCGGGTCCCACGCGATCGTTGTCGTATCCCGCTGCAGCCAGATCGACGTCGGCTGAAGGACCTCCGTTTCCGCCGGACGTTGTTGCTCACGGCCTTGTCGTGTCCCCGAGTAGGGTCGGTTTGACCTGAACCTAAAGCGAGTCGGGTTCGAGTACAGAAAATTGACCCATTTGTAAAAACGGGTGGGGTTCGGGTTGACCCAAATTATGCCGGGTCATTTCCGGGTTCGACTCGAACCCGACCCGTGACCCGAAATTGACAACTCTAATTAAGAGATAAACATGATTTTTAAAAAAAATTAAAAATAGGCAAAGTTTCCAATTGAAAGGTCGACTTATGCTAAGTAAGATAGGTGAGTTAGCTAGCCATAGAGAAAATTAGGACTAACGAAAAGTTGCCGAATTAATTGGTGACTTATGTAAGTCGCCCCTTCAATGGGCAACTTACTTCTATTATCTTTAAAAAAAATGAAAAAATGGCTATGTTGGAGCATTGGATATTGAACTATTAACGGGCAACTTACATCAATTATCTTTGAAAAAAATAGGAAAAAAAAAAGGTTATTCGGTTCCATTGGATACTAAACTAGTTGTGACATGCATGATTGAAGTCATGTGACTTGAGCTGTAAAAATATGTTGTTCCATCAAATAGTCTTGTCAGCATCGTCTTTATTATTTTGTCATTATATTTATGGCATTTCTGCATGTTTTTTATTTTTATTTTTTGAAATTTGAGATTTCTTACTCAATATTGTTTTATTTCAATATAAATATGTAGTGCAAGTCTCCCCAAGGGTTAAAGTAGTTTAAAAATATTTTATGCAACTTCTTATATAGCACTTCGCAATATATTCACTGGTTATGGATTTGATTCGGACAACTCCCACAAAACATATGATTCAAGAGGGTAACATTCATTTGAAAGAGAGTTTGGAGCTACCTACTGATGAAATCCTTGAAGCAGAGGCCAAAGCTAATAAATATTTTTGGTGTTATATGTATTTCTGGAGCGAAGATAAAGAATGCACATTATTGCATGTGCATGATGAGGTTATGAAAGTTAAGTTGTATAGGGCGGGCAATGATTTTTGAGATGTGGGTGTTGACATCATTATTCGAGATCAATTTTCCCGGAATAAACTTTAGCACCTAGGCCTTCGTAGCCTAGTATAGATGTCGTCCTTTAGGACTCCCCTTAGGTGGATACCTAGTGACTATAGCGCTGACTCAACCATCAACCTCGATCTGACACCAATTTTATTTCAAGCATGATTGCCTAAACCGATGAACTAAGTCGAGTTGAATTCAATTTAATGAAATATAGATACAAGAGGCCTAACTTGAATCCTCGTGAGTTATTTGAATCTTTATTGACAATAATCAAATTAATTAAATTAATTCGAATTGATCTAAACTAAATTTTATTTAATCAATAATAAATTTAATTAAAATTTAATTTTCTATATCATGAAAAGTTAATTAAATTAATCAATTGATTAGAAAAGGCTTAGAGGGGGATTAGGGCTGATTTATGCATGCAAGTGGTTTTGGGTTTGGTAGGGTCGGTTCAAACCGCCTCACCCGGCGGTTCAAACCGCCTCACCCACTATCTCCTCTCTATTCGCAGACCTCCCCCACTCTCTCATTCGCAAGCAAGAACCGCCCCCTCCTGCTCTCTTTGAAAAGAACAACACCCCCCCCCCGGTCTGAAGGCTTCCTTTATTTAGATGTAGGGAATTGGAGTAAAAGAAAATTAAAAAAGTGGTTAAAAAGCTCCAAACCATGATTACAAATTCATAATCCATCCATCCATTATAGGGATTAAATTTCATTTCCTTAACTTTCATTCTACTTAAACTAACCCCAAGGGATTTTTACCATTGTAATACCTTAAATAATTAATTCACATGTACATTAGCTTTTAATATTAACAATATACCACCCTATTTTATTGACTCTTACGAATAAGTAACTCCGACTCATTATTGTAAAACTAAAGGGAAGGAAATTTCAGTTCACCTTTTATCGAAATAACCCTCCAAAAAACTAGGGTCATGTAATCCTTCGTAAAATCCTCAAAGATCAAAACATTCTTAAAAGTACTATTATATCATATTAGGGTGGGTTAAACTAGAAACTCTTCCCTAAAAAAATTATTGATTAGGACGAATCAATAAATTATGTCCTGGTCTAAATCTATGATAAACTAACTCATCAAAGAAAATAATAATAATAAAGAATGCCAATTGAATGGCGCATCACTAACATATAATAGATTAGGGCATTGCAAATAATGTAAATTTCATAACAGAAAAGGCCCCATAGAAAACCCCTAAACTTCGATCATGCATAGTGAAGACAAAATCGAAAGTTTTCAGAAAATAATTATAAAACTTCTGGGGTAAAAAGGCACCTTTAAGGGATCTTAAGCCCTCTTTAGTGAGCAGCATGGGGATCGGAGCTGTTAACGCAGTTGTAAACGGCCTCACCGACAAGGTAAACACCGAAGGCGACGAGGGCGATGCTAAGGCCTGGTGTGGCGTACCTGAACTGGTTGACAAGCATCGGATGCTTCCTCCATTCATCCCTCCTTTTAAAGAATTCACCAGTCAGCCCTAATGGCTTTGCCATTCCGCTTGGTTCCTCTTTATCCTTCCTTTCCTTGAGATTTTCAAAGAACTTCTGTGGACGGATGGTGCTTTCCGGTTAAGAGAAAAAGGATTCTGCATGAATCTAACTGAATAATTATTTATTTATATATTTAATATTCAAATTTTAAATATATTTTTATAATATTATAAGTTAAATTTTCAAACTAAGTATCTTATTAATCCAATTTAGATAGTTAACCAACAAAAAAAACTAGTAAAGTCGCTCATTTAACGAGTGACTTGCTCTACAATATAAGTCGCCTGTCAAGCTGACGACATATATCATTTAATTTTTTTTAAAATATTAAGCATTAGTCATTCAATGTTAAATTTTGAAGCTATGCTTTACATATGCATAATTCTTGAGCAAAATTTTTCATTTTTGAGTTGTCAAGTTACTAGGAGTAGTCACATTTTATGAGTTATAAAATTGTCTTATCAAAACCTATTGTATTATCAAATCATATTTATATGCATGTATTATCTTGTCATATAGAAGGTAGAAATTAATTTTATTAAATGTTTTTCATATTTCAGTTGTCATATCTTAAGTGTGCTTCTCTGTCTATATAAGTTGTAGATGTAGAGGTTCATTTGATGAACAAGATCTTAAACTCACAACCTTAAGTTTGTTTGCTAGAGTTGTTCAACCTCTCATATAATGCTTCACAATGTATTCGCCGGTGATGGATAAGATTCGAAGAATTTCTACTAAGCAAAAGATTGAAGAGGGAAGCACTCGTTTGAAAGAATGTTTGACGATAAATTGTGATGATAGTCTAAATGAGAAGGCGAAATGCAATGAAATTTTTTGTTGTGTTATGCATTTCTGGAGCAAAGATGAAAATTACTTGTTGTGGCATGCACATGATGAAGTTATGAAAATAAAGCTGTATAGGGCCGGTAATGATCTTAGAGACATGGAGTGGAGATATGTACAACAGAGGTTTATGGAACATGGTGGGCATCTCATTTCGCTGGACTTTCTCCGAGGTCGAATTCGTGAAATTGTTCGTGATAGAGAAGGTTCTATTGAGGTGATCAATGAAAGGTCAATGGTCGATGTATATCATTATATTCTTTATCATAAATTGTATCCTATACACAATGAATTCCAATTAGAATCCTATAAGATGCTTATTGGAAGTGTTATAGCAGGAAAGGAGGAGTTTCTAAATGGAGCAGATTGGTAGTATATTCAACAAGAGTTTAAGTATCACTTCAACTATTGTACAACGCATACCCAACTCCAAACTCATCTGTGCATGATAATTAAAAACATGTAACATGTTGTTTATGTGCTAATGTTAGTTGAAGTTACAACTTAATTTTTTCCTTCGACTATTTAGTTTGCATTATATTATTTTGTATTATGTTTTGTAATTGTTATTGAATGAATGTTAGTTTTGTGTGATTTGGAATGAATTATTAAGGATTAAGTTATTAGTTTTTTTAAAATATTGAAGTTCGAATTACTCATATGCGAACATGTATAACATCATAATGACATTAAAATAAAATAAAATGTATTACATAATTCATGTCTATAGAGTACAATGTCAACTTCACAATATAACTCAAACATCCAAAAGTTACATAGCACATATAGCTAATGTCTCCTCTTATACCGATGTGGTATCACATTAGTGCATTGAGTGAAAAGTTGTGGTGCATGCACTGGCCTGGTGCGTAGATGGTGTTGGCCCTCAAGATTGACATCAATATGTGTGGATAAAGGCTCGTATAAGGATGTAAGTACGAAATCTGGTGTGAAGGCGATCTCATTGTCTGGTAGTGTTGGTATCGTAAGGTAGCTCTAAGAGGAATCTCATCAGGGTAAGAGGACAGCCCAACATCGTATGGAGCTGTAGCAGCAGGGGCCTGACTGAATGGTGTGTGATCACTAACTATTTCCTCAAAATACTGATCATCGTCAATATATGTATGTTAGAGCAATATGTAGCATAATTCCCCTACAAGTTAATATCCCATTGCATGATTGTATCCCCAATCCCTCCAAATTATGGTTGTAATCTCCTCTCCATGGTAAGAAAAAAATCACGGAGCACATATTTCCAAAGTTTATTAAATTCAACAACAGCTAATATAATTTAATAAAAGAAGACTCACCATATGTCGTTCTGCTAGTGCTCTTGAATAGTATGTTCAAGGAGGGTCCATCGGTGCCTTATGAATATAAAGTGTTGCCCAATATCTGAACAAGCGCAAGTGTGTTGATGCTTCGTATAAGATATTTCCATATCTTGACAAGACGTTTGCTCATGCCTTCATGAAGGCGCCATAAGCATATACTCCCCAACATGTTGTTTTGAGCACAAACCAACATCAATTTATGTCTATTCGAAGCAATTACAACATATTTAACATTATTTTTTATCGACCATCCATGTACTGCAAATCATAGGTATTCCTTTTCTGTGAAACACATTTCCTTCATCAACTTTGTTGGAATTGAGAACTCTTCTTCTACTTGGTTCCCAATATTGTCATTGCCATATGTTACATCATCATCCCATTCATGAGTGCTTATATATGTTTTAATCAAGTCATTATTTGCATCTATGCCTTCTGCAGTCCTAACATTCACATAGCAATATTGTTGTATAGTGCTATTTATCTCAATATTCATGTCAAGATTCACTTCACTTGCACCACATAGTACCATCATCATCATCATCTACCGGCTCGCTGAATCCACTACTCATTGTTTCATAATAATCATCAATAGCGAGTGACGGTCTCGTGAAAGGTCCCGATTCATCCTGCAAATGACTTCATTGCCTTTCACTCCCTCACAAAAAAAGGTATGTTAATTGAAGTAACACATCCACAAATTTAGACTTTAATCAATATAGATTAACATGAATAACTTACTTAATATATTGGTGGTTCGATTGGTGGAATCATCAAAGCACCTCCTACCCTTTCCTCCAAACTGAATGATTCATACACTTGGGGTGTGATACTCTCAACATTATTACTAGGCTTGTTTATCTGTTCGACCTCCATATTTATCTAGTAGCATGTGATAACACCATTTAACAGACTTCATCATCATCCACAGGTTAAGCTATAAAATCATTTTCTAAGGGCAAACGACAAACTAACTTTGTTGTGTGCTTCGATGTTTTAAACTTTAGTACTTTAAGTACCTTAAACTTCAACTGCTCTTAGTTTGTGTTAGTTGACACTTGCAAGGGATGACAACTGCCCCCAAAATACGTTGGTGCATACTTATCATCTAAAGATAATTCTCCGCTGTACATAAGAACAAATGATGCTCCTCATCCAGACATAACTGTGCTACTACATCTTAGTGATCAAATCCTACGGTAAATCTACATAATCTCAAACATAAATCAATATTGCTCTTTAAAATTCAATAAAATTAAATTTTTTATTTTATAAAATAAATTTATATAAACATATTTCAAAATAATACATAATTATTTTAAAGCCAATCATCATATTGAAATGCACAAAAACACTCATAATCAAACATTACAAAAACACAACAAACAAAATAATTTGAATACTAAGAAATACAGTATCAAAATATTGTAATGTAAACTATTTTTGGGCAAGAACATGAAAGATAACATAATCTAATAGAAAAACCTAGGCGACATCTCCGTCTGACATGTATACTAAGAAATAACTTCACCAAACTTAAAATAAACACAACAAATATCAATATTATCTGCACGCATTAATTTAAATGAATTCAAAAAATCTAATCTCAATGTCGTTTTCGTCGGGATTAATTCCGCTGCTGGTCGCCGAACGGTGTTGACCTCATTTTTGTATGAGGTCACTCTTATATCGTCCTTAAGTTCTAGATCCTAGGATATTCCTAGTTCTTAGCCCTTTGGCCCAATCCAAATCTTAACTCAATCCAAACCCAGAACTCTTAGGCTAAAGACTTAGGTCCTAAAGCCCTTTCTAGGTGATTTTTCCATCACCTTGATTCCAATGGATCCTAAATGACTTTAGGAACACATTGAACCCAAACTTACTCTTTGGTTTGACCTGGTTGACCAAGTCAACCATGGTTGACCAAATCAACCCTTTAACCCAACACTTACCAATTTTAACCATTCAAGCTACTTTAAATCAATTCAACCCATCAAAATTGGTTAATTATACACCATTGACTTCAAATTTCTTGGCATGATGTTTTGTAGCACTCTTAACCTCCCTCATGCACATCCTAGTCACAATTAACTAGTCAACAAGTCAATGGGTCAAAAATTACCCTTGAAATGAGACAATGGTTTGGCCACCTCATCATCCCATAAAGAAAACCCTTTCTCCAAGCCAAAATATCCTTTTGGATGATGGGAATATGTTTTTTCCCTCCCTAATTGATCCTTAAACAAGCTCTATTAACCAAGCCAAGCATTGGTTCATCCAAATAGGGAAAAAGGTGTGGTCCCCTCTTCCCATGGACCAAGAGAAGTCACACTCACCACCAACCCTATTTCCTAGCTTTGGGAAGAATAGGAGACACTTGGAACTCATCTAAAACCACTCCAAATCAAATCTCAACCATCCAATCCAAAAGCCATAGGTAAAGTGGGTGAAAACTTGACCTAAAGGTGGCTTCTTCACCATTCCCTCTCATATCATCAAAAGCTCCAAACTCCTGCATCCCTCAATCTTCTAAGAGCTCCTCCCATACACTCCAGCACATTCCAAGGCTTTCCCAAGCTTTTCCCGACCGTTTCCAAGCCTCAAATCACTATTTTAGTGAGGAGAGAGCATTCTAGAGAGAAAAAGAGGACTTTCTAATATAACTTTTGATCCAGCCAGATCCGGCTTTTGGAGTCTTCAGCAAAGTTCTAGAGGATTGCTGCAGCTTTCCAACAAGCAAAAAATCACAAAAATTGTACGGTTTGGATTGTAAGTTATGCTCATTTGAATTTTAAATTTTAATTTGAAACTGTAGCAATTTTACAA